AAAAAAAAAAAAAAAAATACGAAAAAGTCCTCATCGCGAAAGATTAAGAAGGATAGCTTGGTACAAAGTAGATTGGTTTCTCGATTGTTTGTCAGCTGCACTTGACTATACTCGTATTCTAATTACGGCAGATTACGGCGGATCAAGCACAGTCTAGGAGGATAGTTTTGCGGGCAGAGGTAGCACTTGTCATTCGTTTTCGATCACTTTTAATACTTTGAAGCATTCGTGTAACCGGAAAAGATCAAGAATTAATAAAAAGCTCTTGAATAAAAAGCGAACAATGTACTTGAGATTGCAGATGGGTCAAGAATAAAAAAAATCTTTGATATCACAGACAGACAGAATATTATAGTTTCCTTTCATACAAGTTCGTTTTATTTTTACTATATTTTCAATAGAATTGTTAAGGTCTATTTTGCCAAGAAAGATAGTAAATTTCGCTGGAAACATACAATTTTTTAATGGCATATTTTACAGTTTTTAAAATATAAATAATACACATAAAAAAATGAAAGGAAAGTCAATTACTGCAGACTCATGCCTCGATTACAAAATTCTTTCCGCGTACAAATTGTTGCAGATATTGTGTCACTCGAAACGAATGACAGAAATGCCAAAGATAACATTGAAGTCCAATGTTAACGGTATAATTGCAATTATGCCGCGATTACAATTTCTATTCTTCGTAGATATTTAGAAAATATCTCCTCGAATGCTTTCTGCGATTTCATCATCCTCGTATCTTTTATAATCATTGTCCAGGTTTGCATATTCTCGAGAAAGTTTATTGTGAATTTACAAAGTAGAACTAAATGATTTCGTCATCGCGCAATAGTCTACAGCGAATATAGCCGGTGCTTTTGCAAACAGGGCTAAACTATAAGAGTAAAATTTAGTTGTTGAACCAGATCGGTGCGAGCAAGCTACGAAGTTCCTTAATTTCACACGGTAAATTTGTATAGGACTCCGCGTCCTTCGCCCATGCCGCTTACTGGTAATCTTCAAACTCCCCCTCCTTGTTTTATTTCGGGAAATTGGGTCTTGCCTCCATTTACCATCTTGAAGAATATATTTTTCATCACGATTTATCTCGATCTCGTTCCATCTCCAGAAGAATATTATTTTATGTTTTCATAAAACATCTAATATTTACATTAAATATTTTTCTTTGACGAGCGTACTGACGGGTCGCGAAAGAAGCGACATCAGGTTTCATAAAAGGCACGAAAGACACGAAAAGACAATTTTCCAAAGACCGCCGCAGTCCATCCATCGCGATGAATGGTCGTGAAGGTGACGTGCTGACGGAAACTGTCGCGTAAAGAAAAGCTCGTAGGTCCGCGCGAAAGACAAAGATGTAAGGAGACAAACCTGTTGCCTTGCTCATGGCCCCAGAAAGAATGAAGAACGTCCTTAAGGACCGTTGCACAAAGCACATTTTATCGATCTGCTATAAGAGAGAGGCTGCGCCCGTCAAAGAAACCATTTCTCGATACTGTCGAGATGGAATTTAATTAATTTCCTAGGATTTGCCGTGCTTTTTCCGGTATGCCGCAAGTCGTCTCGTGAGACACGCACAATTTCACATAGTTGTCTTTTCAATATCACTGTTTATGAAAATTCCGATTACGTTGATCAACGATATTTGCGACGAGTGAAACAGCCGCGTCTCGCCGACTGACACGACGACGAGGAAATTTATGAAATATTACAAGATATTGCGAGCAGAGACTGTGCGGCATCAAACGTGCGCGATATAGCAGACGTACATTGTGGTGGCTCAAATAGCGGTGGGCGTTCTTAATCGATGAAAACAAAAGGCCAGCAGCTTTCACCGTGGTGTTATAGGCACTATAGAAATTGGACTAAGTGAAGACGTCGTATACACGCACAGACGCATTCGCGCACATAAATTACATTTACGAGGAGTCGGCTCGATCTTCACCGAGCATCCCAGCGTGAAGATGCGAATCATTGCTCGCGTTGTAATTCTAGCATTGTACGGAATTTGTTACACGCGACCTAACTTACTTCAAAGCAAATCTACTATCAATTTATTGAGAGGGAAGCAACGATATATACAGAAAAATATGTATTGCATTCAAGTAAATGTTATTTGTCTCAAATATTTCATAAGTTTATCATAAGCATCAAATTGATTCAAAATGCAGCTTAAGTTTATTATGTAAGCTTATTATGTAAGCTTATTGTAAGCTTATTGTAAGCTTATTGTAAGCTTATTGTAAGCTTATTATTGCAATGGAGAATATTAAATTAGAGCAAACATTCGGTTTGTTTATATTATATAAAGACAAACTAATTTCTTTTCAATAAAATTTCATGATATTCTTGTAAAGAGAATAAATTCTTTTTTTGGGTGCATGATAATACGAGCTCTTTTTAAATTTGTGACGAGTATATTTTAAGAATATTATGAAGAAAATACTCTTTGTTGAAAATAATTGTTATTCAAAATAAGAAAAGTGAATTGAGTAATCACTCTTCTTTTAGCAGTAGAAAGGCATTTCTCTTTGTGCATAT